AAACAAATAAATCAAATCATTATTAGAAAATAATATACAATATGGTAGAACTAATAATAATGCATTTGCTTTAACTAATTCTAATTTATATACATGATCAACAGAGCAATTAGATAATATGTTTTTATCAAGAGTTTTTTTTAAATCTTTAAATACTAGTAAATTGTATAAAACAAATAAAGATTTTTTAACTGAATTTTCAATAACAACAATACAAACTAACAATAGTGAGATTAAACAAAAATATATATATCTAATATGTGATGAATCTGAGTATAATACTAGAAGTTATAATAAGAATACTAATTAGTTTGCTTTGTATTTCTAGAGTTGTAATAAGAATACTAATTAATTTGCTCTTTGATTACTATTTATAACTTGAATTCAAGAGAATTGATTTATATATTTTGCATTATATTATTAATCATTTAATGATAGCCTTTTTTTATTACTATAGTATTATTTAATATGAAGTAAATTTAAATAAATCTATAAGTTGTAAATCATATTTCAACTCAAATTTTTATCTATACAAAATTTCTTAATATTTATTAAATCTTATTATATTATAGTACTAACCCTACATAATATTTGTTATTATGCATATTCAATTGTTTTGATTGTATTAATTAATATATTAATTTTTTTTTTAATATTAAGGTGACTACTTTGGAGTCTAGTACGGTTTATTAACTTTTCAGTTTAATTATCAGAATGTCAAATAGATACCCTTGACTTTGTTATATCAATAAGAGTATAATTGATCATATGTACAACTTTAATTATTGTTTAATTAAAGACTCTGCTATATCTATTTCTATCTATAGTTATCTACCAATTGCCATATCTAGGATTTGCTTATAGATCTTTTATTTAAACTCTCTGATTGACTTAGTGCTATCAGATACTTTCCTTGTGCAAATTTCTGCTGCTAAAGCCCCTTAAGACTACTTTATCCTCGTGGTAAACCTATCAGAGTGGTTTATGTTTTACACATGTATCATCTAGATTTTTTGGTAACATATGCCCCAATCTGAGAACTAGTATTTGCGATCTTTATCATCGCTACCATTATCTACTTCTTGCTCTTTACAAGGTTCGTTCCGATCTCGATATCCACTTTTAACCAGCTCTTATACTGATCTCTCCCCAACTATCAAATCAGTTAACTCGGAAGGGTTGTTGTACCTTGGCTCTAAGTGTTTTTTGGTTTTACTTTTCTTGGTTTCTAATTCTATAACATAGGATCTTTTGCTCCAATGTGACTCTGGTAGCCAGATTGGTGGACTCTTCTTGCCCCAGAGTTGTTCGTCCAGTTTTTGGTTTCTAGTTTTGGTTTTTTATAATATCATTAAAGATCTTCACTACTCCTAGCTTGGGTCTTGCCAAATAGGTTTTAAATATTCTAGTTCTTGGATTTGAATTACCCTAAAGCTTTTATTTCAAGATGGTAGTATCAAGATTACAGGTGATATATCCAACTGATTGTCAAATAAATATTACTAGAATATAAGTCTATTTTTCAAAAAATATCTCTAGTGGAAATCAAACTCTAGACCTGCCGCTTGGAGGGTGATAACTTAACCACTATTCTATATTGCTACACTTCTATATATTAATTTTTTTATAACTAATATATATATATACTAATATTTAAAGTTAAACTATTTACAATTATACAAGATAACAAATTTGTATCAAATCAAAAATTTTATTATGATTAGAGTAAAATGCTATTATATTAAAATTTAAAATAAATATTAGTAGTATTACAAGTATTACAATTTAATATAAGTCAAATAGATTTTTAAGTTAAATTAGACTTGACTTGGATTAAAATAACTTCTAGCAAAATTTTAAAATTAGTATAGGCTAAAATTATATTGATACTGGTTAGAATTTTAATTAATTAATTTGACATTAAGTTTAACTCAATCTAAAAACTTTAATTTATAACAAAGTATATATCTATTATATCGAAATTATAAGCAATTTGTTTTTTTTTTTGATATTAAGGTAACCTCTCGGTCGTATACCTTTACTCAGTTATAGTTATAATTTTTATAGTATGAATTTTCATACCATATACATATTTAGAAAGTACAACTAGCTACACATGCAACTTTTGGTTGTCCATTTTAAGTAGTCCGCTTATTATTAAATTCTATATTAGATATTATACCTATAATCTGACTAGAGAGTTATCTATTTAAATCCTCTATATCTATATGATTACACTATTAATCAAGCGAGAATCCAATATGATTACACTTAGTTTCGAATATCAACTTAGGACTTTAAGGCAGGCTCTTTGCTTCCAAGAACTCTTTATTCTCAAGACAAACCTGCTAGAGCCTTCCATATCCACAATTTGGCTAATCTAGTTTTTAGTTGATATGCATAGGCTGAGGCCTGCCACTTGTGCCCCAGTTTCTATATTGGATACTATAGCTTGATCGCTACTATACAACTTACTTTTGTCTTTATAGAGTTCACTCAAATCTCTGTACAAATATTACAGACCATCTACAGTATCTCCAATTATCCCAAACTGCCAATTCAGATGGCTCAGAAGGGCTATAACCTGTTTCTGATCTCTACGATTAGGTCTTTTTCCTCTGGTTACTCCTTTGGTAGCCTGGTTGGTGAAGTGCCTTGTCAACACTTCAGTTCTGTTTAATTTTACTAGTTTTTCTAATGATAATCCTATAAGCAATTTGTTGTATAATATTTTGTGTAATAATTAATAGTTATTAGGCACAAAGTACCCAATAACTGAGTTATTTGCTGTATGCTATTTGATTGGTCGATTTAAGTACCAAAGGTACTTAAAATTTGACTAGTCAAATCATATAGCAAATAATAGTAAGGTACAATAGTGTTTTAATACTTGTAAAGCGCAATAGCATTTTACTAGAATTAGAACACTATTATACCATAGTTATAAGTACTTTGTATTTGAATAACTAGATTATTTAGCATTTATATTTATTAAATTTTGCTTACTAACTATTGACTGGTTTGAAATTTATTATTTTTATACACATGAGTTATGTATATTGTCTAAATATATTTTAAATCTGGTACGGATTTAAAAATAATTCAGATAATATGTGTAACCCATATGTATAAAAATAATAAAATTCAAATATCAGATAACAGTTTATAAATGCAAAATCTGATATATAGAAAATGCTGTATAATAAATATTTTATAATATTTTGTATAACAATATGTACAATTTATTTGTATAATTTTTGTATAATAACAAATATTATACAACTTTATATAACAACAAATATAATTCAGAGGTCATATGATCTAGTAATGATCACTACTGGTTATAGTTAGCACAATTCTTAAATATAAATCATATTTAAATTTTTGAAATATTTTTAGCAAAAAAGTTTTTTATCTTCAAAGATATAAAATCTTGAAAAAAATTATAGTAATAAAATTTTTTAACAAAAAACTTTAAAATTTTATTATTTAAAAGTTTATTAATAATTTTAAAAAATGTTTATAATAAAATTTTTAAGGGCATTTATTTTTGGTACACCCTGCACTTGGTGCATCTTTCAATGATATCTCAAAATTTTACTAGGGTAACTCTGTTATGTAACTAATAAAAAATACTCCCTGTCAAGTACTGAAAAGCGCTAAACGTTCCCGGGAAATTTTATATTCATAAACTTTATTGAAAATCTATCCTTTTGTCTTTATAGTATCTTATACATAATCATATAAAAGAAGCCAATAAGAAGGTTTCATAGATCCATAAGACTTATATTCGGAAAACGGCTTAGAAAGATCGAGATATTATTAAATATGATTCGCGTATTAAACTCTAATAATCGATATGCTTAATAAATTGATCGTTTTCTAGAAATACGAACTAAAAAAAAAAAAAGGAAAAAAATGCAAACAATCGACCGACAATAATTTACTAAATCGAGCCATTTCGAAAAAAAAATCGATAGATGTTAGGGATTAATGGTTTAAATATAGTGTTGACATATCAACTTTTATGATTTCTACAAAACAAAGAGCATTAATGGCTTGCAAATGAATAGAATGAATAGGATTATATGTATGAAAAATATCGATTACCAGTTGAGTTGTACGATATAGAATAAGTATAACCGTTTAGTATGAATGGTTCAGTTGGGTGAGTCTTAAATCGAAGAGATTATTCATGTTTAATTAAAATATTCAGAAAAAACTTCATGATGACTGACTTCACTATGAAAGTGAATTATACGGAATATTTAGCATAATTACGAAAATCTATATGGGCTAGGTGCTGGAAAAAGGGACGAAATTGACAATTTTTTCAAAAGAAATTTTTACATAAATCAATTTAGAATAAGATTAAATCATTTTTTATTTCAAACACAAAAGTAGTTGTATTAATAATATTTTGCAGTATAGCTCTTTAAAGTTTACATTTTCTTATGTTTTATTATAAAATTCATAATATAAAAATTGATTTTCCGAAGATCTTTTTTTTTTTTTGTCAATTTCGACCTTTTTCTCAGCACCTAGCCCATATATTATTTCAGTGTTGTAATTGGATTTGTTTATTGGACAAAAACCCAATTACATAGATTCAGTAAATTCCGTATCACTTTTTCATAGTATATCTAATATATCTGTGGCCCACGTGGCAAATGTTTAAAGCAAAGTTATCAATAATTTGTAAATGCTTCATATATGTTAAGCCAGATCCACAGAAACTTATGCAAGACCTTTTGGTATTTCTGCAGACTCTGGAATTTTCGACAATCCGTACTTAATATACAGCCGAAACATCCAGAGTCTGCCGAAATACCAAAAGGTCTTGCATAAGTTTCTGCGGATCTGGCTTAACATGTATGAAGCCTGATTTCTACCACATTTACAAATTACTGAATTATTGATAACTTTGCCACGTGGCCGTTTGGCCGAAAGATTTCGGCCACAGGTAGCCGGTCACCTCGTGAAATTTATTTACGCAGAAATCAATTACTTACATCCATTTCCGGTGGCGGGATGATTGAATTGGATATCAGTATGTTTGAAAAATTTTGCGTCTCTGATCCAGATTCTGCTATTAGCACAAATAAAATTAATAGAGGATAAAAGCATTATAAAAGAATAGGCTATTAAGTCCTCACCCGTATAATTTTTTTCTAATGATTGTTCAATTTTCCCCTGGCTTTTTTTTGGTACACCCTTTGGCGGCCCGCGTTTATTGCCAGGTGTAATAAACACGCACTGCAGCCCATTCTGCTTACATCGTAAGCACAAAGGCGGCCCAGTGCACTTAGACCGGCGCTTACGACAGGAGCCACAGGCGATTGTCACCTTCTGCCTGACACATGGAAGTTTATCCCTTTTTTTTTTCATTATGATGTAAAAAGAGTGAAATATTTTAATGCAATAGAAGAAGTCTGGGATAAACCATTTAGGCAATCACGAAGTCCACAAAAACAACAAAACAACAAACTCCCGTAGGAATTCTAATCAGATACAGCCCTTTTTATTAAATCATCCGTGTAATTAAAAAGAATAATATATAAAATATCAAATTAGAAATGTTTAGAAAAAAAAATTATAAACAATGATACCAAATTATAAAAAAAAATTATAAACAATGATACCAAATTATAAACATGCATAATATATGCAGTTAAAACAATAGATTTACAGAAGCAAGCTTTTAAATTAAAATTGCACTTCCAATTAATTTCTTATGATGAAATGAAATCTACAAATTGACATGTGTGAAAATGGATGATACATACTTTTCAAACATGAGGCTTAAAATATGTATGTGATGCATTTTTGTTTTTTTTTTGTTTTAGGTAGACATCTCCGCACCAGATGATGGGACTTAAATACGTAAAATACGTAAAATACGCAATGGAGTTATTTTTATGAATTTTTTTTTAGAATTCTCAAGGCGATGATAATCGCTTTTTAATTAACCAGAATATGTACGTACGTACGTGCATACGTATGCATACGTATGTACGTACGTACGTATTTTTTAATATAATCGGATGATTCCAATTAATATCCGGTAAATTGGGTCAAATACCTATTTGGTTGCACAATGCACGTCAACGTACAGAGTATATACATGTCAAATCCCCAAATCTCGTGTACAAAATAAATGACAGTTTGTCACTTTATTAAATCTATCGAGTCGAGTCTCTATGATAAATTTATGGGAATCTAAACTAGTTTTTTGTCCTAATTCTCTGCAGATAACAACCAAATCAGATATATCTGCAAAAAAAAACATTAGCACTATAATAATGTCTCTTCGATCCAAAGCAATGAATTTTATAACAGC